CTAGGGTTTATATAGCTTTTACAACTAATATAAATTATATAATAACAACAATACAAAAGTAGAAAAGGTATAAAAAGCATGAAAGATACAAAAGATATAAAAGGTACAAGAGGTATGAAAGGTACAAAAGGTATGAAAGATACAAAAGGTATAAAAGGTACAAAAGGTATAAAAGGTACAAAAGGTATGAAAGGTACAAAAAGGATTGGGATTCTGTGGCCTAGTGGTCTAGGCACCCAACCCTCTACAAGCGGGTTTTGGGTTCAAGTTCTAGTAGGTACGTTTACCTATGAATATTTGGAAGTATCTGCCGTGAGAAGTCCAAGTAAATACAAGTCTGGATTAGGAATTTCCAGAAGGAGGTCTATTGTGGAGTAGTTGGCACTATGTGTAACAATAATTGTTACAGAAGGTTCTATTACACAAAGGTTGTGTGTATAAATCTATGATTGGCAAAGTAGCACCAACAACCCCTAAGGCGGCATTGGGGATCTTGTTTAGGAGGATAACCGGGCGGTAACCAGAATTAGAAAGTGGTGAAAAATGTGGTAAACACAAAGGGACCTGTGGTAAAGAATTGGTCTTACCAGATTTGAAACACCTCTGGCACATACAGAACTCTCTAACCAATAAGAAGTTGAAGCATGGAGGTGTGTATGTGTTGATAGACCTAACAGGCTCTAGTCATATCCGTATGGGAGCCTTTGGTGTTAAGAGGACTTAGGACCACCAATATAGGTATAGCTGGTATAAGTGCATATAGCAGTAACTAGAAACTACAACTGCCGAGAATCACCATAAAAAAAAACGATGACACACCTGTTACCTCTGAGCCTCATGATGCCCTCCAACTATACTAACTACTGGAAGCATTTGCAAAACATGCCTGGGTAGCCTTATCACCATATTGAGAAGTATAGTCATTGGCACAAACCTAATTGGATATATTAAAACCTGGGTTCTGAAAGTTGCAGAAAATCTAGCTAGTTATGGCAGCATGCAGGCTTGAGATACTTACCCATTTGGGTAGAGGCAGCTGCATAGCTTGAGATATTAACTCCTGAAAAGTACACTAAGTAAGGATTGAGGGAGAAATCGCTCTGTCAGACATACCAAACTGGAAGCAATAAGTGCCTACCTAGTACACACCAATTTGGGAGTTGAAAATAAAAGGTTTGTAGGTAATGTGGCGGACATCTGAATACTGATTGGTGGTTGAGGAAGGATGTATAAAATCCAGATTAATCACATATATAGGGATGTTGATGGCTTTGGTGGATTTTAGCCGTGAATAAATAGTTTTAATACTTGATGTTCTAGTTCTAGTTCTGATATATAATATGTATATATTTACGGCACCATTATATGTTAATTTAATAAAAGTCTGGGGCAGGAGCTATATCCCAAATATTAAAAAAAAAAATTGAAAGGTACAAAAGGTATGAAAAGTACAAAAGATATAAAAGGTACAAAAGGTATATTCGAGGTGTGGCGACTTAGTGTAGTGGTCTAGTCATCACTCTCTCCAAGTGGCAGGTCTAGAGTTCAAATCCCACGGATGACGAATTTTGAAAAATAGCCTGTGCTACGGTTTACGG